TGGCTTATTAAATGTGAACTGGGTGTTAGTTATCAGAGAATTTTCATATTTTATTTATCTCTAACGACAATATCGTATGTTCTTGATATTGAAATGATTTTTGTTCGGATTTTAACTCGAAATAAATATACACTTGAATCATTTACCAATTTTCCAATATTTAGTTTATCATTAAGAGAATTTTGGGGTCGCAGATATAATCGAATTGTTCACACAGCTTTAAAAGAATCAGTTTTTGAACCAATTCGGTTAGAATTTTCATCTCCGACAATTGGAGCATTGACATCATTTATTATAAGCGGTCTTTTTCATGTTCATACATGGCTTGTTGCTTTTGATGATAAATCATCATTACTTCCAACTTTTATGTTTTTCTTTTTACATGGCATTGCTTGTTCTATTGAAACAAATATGAAAATTCAACTTCCTGAACATGTCGGATGGATAATAACTCATACATTTCTTCTTATTACATCACCACTCGTAGTTAGACCATTCATAGAAAAAGGATCTCCATTTTTAATACTTAATCCTACACCATTCATTAATGTTGGATGGATACCAAAATTACCTCTACCTAATTTTTGTCCACGATAAACTATTTTCAAATATTATTGTTAATACATCAGTTTGAATATTTATTCGACAAAGAAAGTTCGTTTTTTTTAAACTCGCTAATAAAAATTCTACTATTGATTTCTATTGACTTTGATTCATTTTATATAGAAGGCTACTTCCATGGTACTTGTGACAAAAAAACACAACATTCACCAAATCGTTTGAAACTTTCAGGGCTTGTGTAATAGTCACTTCTAAGACTTTTTTGCTCTTGGACAAAATTTATACGACGTCTTGTTCAAGAGCTGTAGCCAAAATACCAAATACCCTCCGGAACGGTTTTTTAAAGTATCTTATTCTTTGTAACACTGCTAGTCTTGCACTACTTCGTGCTATCGAAATTCTGATGATAGATTTGGATTCCTTATCATCAGGGCTATCAGAATCACTATTTTTAAAAAAATTTTGGACTCATCTCTGAACGAAGAGTCTCTGGAAACCCTTTTCAATAGCCGAGTATTCCAGGAGCAAAAACTCCATTTATAGAGAACTCTGGACTTCGTGGAACATCTCATTTGATAGAGCATCAGAAGATCTATCGAACCATATGTGCGCCGTCGGGCGGGAGTAAGATTTCACCGAGATAGGGTCTCCAGAAAACTAACATGGATTTTTGAAAAATCATAATTTTTTTTTTGTCAAATTGGACCAAAAATATGTGAAAAAACTTTGTTTTATAGATTGTGCCGTAGTAGTACGTAGAAGATCCCTTGGATCTATCGAGATTCTACAAAGATCTCTGAAGAACTATCTT